AAAAAAAAAAAAAAAAAAAAACATTCAAATTAGATTCTCTCAATCTCTAAAAATATCGCTTTTTGTTCAGCAAAAAAAAAGTGAAAGAGGAGTCAAATGAATCGTAACCCCCCACTTTTTATCTTTTGATTTTATTTTTTATTGTTTTTTTCCATACTGTTCATCATTGTTTTTCTAAATGAGGTTTGGTTTTGTGATATTTAATTGCCACATAACACTAAATTTAATTTTATACTTTCATTTTATACTTTCATCAATTTAATCGACTGTTACTCGTCTTAACATAAATAATTGTTAAGATTTTTAACCACTATTCTGCAGCCACTTTAATACCAATAGTAGCCACAGCAGCAATTGTGAGCCTCCTGAAGTGTGATCTCTTTACCTGTTGACGGTATAATGTTGTTGACTGAAAAGAATATAGAAGAAGGAAATAAATAAATAAACCACATTTTTCGTCATCTGGATTAATATTGGTCAGTCATTTTTATCAGATTTTTTTTCGGCTTATGTTCATCTAAACAGCTATAAAGACGCTTTTTGGTTTTGCTAGATTAGAATTGTTTGTTTTATTAATTCAATGAAGTAAATAAGACATTATTTTTTTTTATTCTTTTATTGTAGGTTTCATCCGTATTAATCTTTTTTCTTTTTTTTTTTTTTTTTGAGTGAGAGTTAAAAGGTCTGTTGGCATCATTAGTGGTCAGTATCAAATTTTTTTAGATCACATGAAATGTCGCCTGTATCCGTTTGTAAATCCGTGTGAAATTTATTGTTGGAAACTTGAACCTCATTCTTTTGTTTTTTTAAACTTCTAACGTTTTACAGTTAAAGGCCAGTTTTTTCCATTTCTCTTTTACCATTTTAGTATGCAGTGTGAAATTTTCATGTGAAATTGACTGATTGTAAATGAAATTAAATGTTTTTTGTTTTAATTTTTTAGTTTGGGAAAAATGGTTATGCTTAAGTAATAAGGTGAAAGTGGTACGTTATGGTAACATCGGTTGATGGGTGATACAGACGTTCTGTTGGTATAAATTCCTAATTTGTTTTTATTCTATAGAATGTTGGATTGCAAGTTCCAGAATAACCTTGAAGTGTTTGAAGTGTTCTGTGGAATAATTTTTTACATTGTTACTTCAGTACTGCGTGCGAAACGGTTTGTATACATTGTGTAACTGTGTAAACAGTGACTCTGTGTATATATTAGTTTATTGATAGATTAATTTTTTCCTGCACTTGCAGTTTCAAATTTTAACATTTTACCGCAGAATTCGTATGACTGCACGCTGGTGGTGGAGAGTAAGGGTTAAGAAGACTTTTGGTAGCTTTAAACCTCTATTTCCTACGTCTTTTGTTTACTTGTTTATTTTTTCTTTTTTTTTGTGCTTAAAAATTGTAAACTTTTTTGACAGTGTTTTGAATTTGTAGGGGAAACCTTATGAAAGAGCATCATAGTGAAGAAAGTCTCGTTGTTGAACTTAAATGGTTTTCTCCATATCATGACCACACCCAGTCAGTAACTGTTCCGCCATGTTGGCAGTTTGTTCCATTAGGAATGATGCATGCTCTTTTCTATTCTGTTTTTTTTTTTCATTTTTTTTTTTTTTGTCTATTATTTTCATTTCAGTCCTAAACAGTCGTTGGTATTCATGTACGATTAAAACAAGAAACAGAGACATGTTTTAATAAAATGTGAATTGTTTTATTTCAGAAAAAGTGTAATCTAATTGTTTTTTTCAAAGCAACAAGTGAATTTAGTTGAGAAAATTTTTTTCAATTTTTTTTTTCGCTTTATTGTATTTTTATTCTGTAGTTTAAAGTTGGCACGTTTAAAAAATATATGCAAATTTGTTTTGATACTCTCTTCATTTAATCGTACTTGGAGAGTGTGATGTTTTTTTCGTAATCGAAATATTTCTTTCAAATCAACTTTGATGCATTTAATTTCAATTCATTATTCGGAACTATATACTTATCTGAAATTTAGACAGAGCTGTTGTTTGCTTTCTGTTCTTTGCTCTTTTGCTAGTACAGGTGTAACGTTTTTGAGAAATGGTAAGACGAAACTTTTTATCATCACTGTTTTGAAACAGGTGGTAAACAATTGATGGTACTTGATATGAAGAATGAGGTTTATTTTGGGTTGGTTCTTTCTTTGGTTTTAACAAAATGCTTGAAAATTTTTTTAAAAGT